GCATGCGTCACCCACACCCATTTCGGCACACCCCTCACACGTTTCGTGGCTCCATAGGGAGCTCCACCGAAGGCCCCAGTGCCCGCGGCCGCATGCGTCCCCCACACCCATTTCGGCACACCCCTCACACGTTTCGTGGCTCCATAGGGAGCTCCACCGAAGGCCCCAGTGCCCGCGGCCGCATGCGTCACCCACACCCATTTCGGCACACCCCTCACACGTTTCGTGGCTCCATAGGGAGCTCCACCGAAGGCCCCAGTGCCCGCGGCCGCATGCGTCCCCCACACCCATTTCGGCACACCCCTCACACGTTTCGTGGCTCCATAGGGAGCTCCACCGAAGGCCCCAGTGCCCGCGGCCGCATGCGTCCCCCACACCCATTTCGGCACACCCCTCACACGTTTCGTGGCTCCATAGGGAGCTCCACCGAAGGCCCCAGTGCCCGCGGCCGCATGCGTCCCCCACACCCATTTCGGCACACCCCTCACACGTTTCGTGGCTCCATAGGGAGCTCCACCGAAGGCCTCAGTGCCGCCGCCCGCATGCGTCACCCCCACCCATTTCGGCACCCCCCTTGCATTTCTCGCACGGCAGGGTCATCACCACGGTGGCGTGCCAGGGGCGCACCATGCGCGAAGGCGACGGGGCGGAGAAACGGCGCTCCGGGGGCGGCCAGACCTCCGGGCGCGAGCAGTCCGCGGCCAGACCATCTCTCGGTCCTGTGGACTCTCGCCCTGGGCCGTCGGCTGCCCGGCGCGCTGCTCCCTCGGTCGACGTCGCCCAGGCGTGATCCTGGATTGCGGCCGCCACGAGGTAGGGAACGGCAAGAAGGAGGACGACGACTGGTGGCTGGAGCTCTACGTGCTGCTCTCGCGCGCCACGCGCCACGAGGACCTCCTGCTCGTGCGGGCGCCGCGCATCGAGTTCTTCCTGGCAGGGCCGCCGCAGGGCTTGCGGAAGCAGCTGGAGCAGTTTGCTGCGCGCACGAAGCGGTGCAGGAGGGAAGCGACGGCCCTCGCCAGGGAGATCGGCTTCACCGAGTTCATCCGCGAGGCCTGACCTGAGGAGCGTCTCCCCCGAGCCGCGCCTTCTCTCGACTGCCCGACTAATTGTTTGGCCTCGCGCCGCGGACGACCCGCGCGCGTCGCTGGGACCCTCTCGGGGCGACCAGCGCGCGTCGCGGGAACTCCGTGCTGCGGGGGGCCCGGCGCCTCGTTCGCCCGTCGTCGCTCTGCCCAGCGGTCAGAGACTTGCCCGCTATCAGCCAGCCAGTTAGCTAGTCAGCTCTCTCTGCTTCGCGCAGCGGACGACCCGCGCGCGTCGCTGGGGCCCCGCCCGGGGCGACCAGCGCGCGTCGCGGGGACTCCGCGCTGCGCCGCGCCCGCAGCCTTGGATTTTGGAGTGCGCGGGCAAAGAGGAAGGAAAAGAAGAGCCGAAAGCGGGCGCGATCCTCGCAAGAGGCGTGCCGACATGGGCGTCGCGACGTGCGGACGCTGCCGTCGGGGTTCCCGCGGAAGCTGCCTGCGGCGGCCACGCCCAGTGTCACGTGTGTTCGGACAGGCATGCTCGAACCATTCACATTCATATACACTTACACTAGGCGTTTCCATGATCGCATTCATGCAAATATATTCATTCGCGCGCAGACCCATTCATACTCAGATTCCCTCGCGCTCTGACTCACCCGCGTTCTTTCTCTCGTAATCAGATCTATCGTATTCCTTTGCGTTGTGTAACCCGCCACATTTCGGCACACCCCTCATGCGGTTCGTGGCCCCATAGGGAGCGCCACCAAAGAAGATACTCACAATTGCGATTCTCACAACTGCATATGGTAAGGTCCTTCGCCAGGTTTTTTTTCCCCCCCCCCAGCCATCCTGTGGTGTTGGGTCCTCGTTTTGAAGAGACGGTGCCCCGCGTTCTCCTTCCTTCCTTCCTTCCTTCCTCCCGCTGCCCCCCCCCCTCCATCATCATCATCATCATCAACACCCAATTCGGCACACCCCTCACACGTTTCGTGGCTCCATAGGGAGCTCCACCGAAGGCCCCAGTGCCCGCGGCCGCATGCGTCACCCACACCCATTTCGGCACACCCCTCACACGTTTCGTGGCTCCATAGGGAGCTCCACCGAAGGCCCCAGTGCCCGCGCCCGCATGCGTCCCCACACCCATTTCGGCACACCCCTCACACGTTTCGTGGCTCCATAGGGAGCTCCACCGAAGGCCCCAGTGCCCGCGGCCGCATGCGTCACCCACACCCATTTCGGCACACCCCTCACACGTTTCGTGGCTCCATAGGGAGCTCCACCGAAGGCCCCAGTGCCCGCGCGCCGCATGCGTCCCCGCATTTCGGCACACTCCCTCACATTCGTCCCTCACATAGGGAGCTCCACCGAAGGCCCCAGTGCCCGCGGCCGCATGCGTCACCCACACCCATTTCGGCACACCCCTCACACGTTTCGTGGCTCCATAGGGAGCTCCACCGAAGGCCCCAGTGCCCGCGGCCGCATGCGTCACCCACACCCATTTCGGCACACCCCTCACACGTTTCGTGGCTCCATAGGGAGCTCCACCGAAGGCCCCAGTGCCCGCGGCCGCATGCGTCACCCACACCCATTTCGGCACACCCCTCACACGTTTCGTGGCTCCATAGGGAGCTCCACCGAAGGCCCCAGTGCCCGCGGCCGCATGCGTCACCCACACCATTTCGGCACACCCCTCACACGTTTCGTGGCTCCATAGGGAGCTCCACCGAAGGCCCCAGTGGCCGCGGCCGCATGCGTCACCCACACCCATTTCGGCACACCCCTCACACGTTTCGTGGCTCCATAGGGAGCTCCACCGAAGGCCCCAGTGCCCGCGGCCGCATGCGTCACCCACACCCATTTCGGCACACCCCTCACACGTTTCGTGGCTCCATAGGGAGCTCCACCGAAGGCCCCAGTGCCCGCGGCCGCATGCGTCACCCACACCCATTTCGGCACACCCCTCACACGTTTCGTGGCTCCATAGGGAGCTCCACCGAAGGCCTCAGTGCCGCCGCCCGCATGCGTCACCCCCACCCATTTCGGCACACCCCCCGCATTTCTCGCACGGCAGGGTCATCACCACGGTGGCGTGCCAGGGGCGCACCATGCGCGAAGGCGACGGGGCGGGGGAACGGCGCTCCGGGGGCGGCCAGACCTCCGGGGCGCGAGCAGTCCGCGGCCAGACCATCTCTCGGTCCTGTGGACTCTCGCCCTGGGCCGTCGGCTGCCCGGCGCGCTGCTCCCTCGGTCGACGTCGCCCAGGCGTGATCCTGGATTGCGGCCGCCACGAGGTAGGGAACGGCAAGAAGGAGGACGACGACTGGTGGCTGGAGCTCTACGTGCTGCTCTCGCGCGCCACGCGCCACGAGGACCTCCTGCTCATGCGGGCGCCGCGCATCGAGTTCTTCCTGGCAGGGCCGCCGCAGGGCTTGCGGAAGCAGCTGGAGCAGTTTGCGGCGCGCACGAAGCGGTGCAGGAGGGAAGCGACGGCCCTCGCCAGGGAGCTCGGCTTCACCGAGTTCATCCGCGAGGCCTGACCTGAGGAGCGTCTCCCCCGAGCCGCGCCTTCTCTCGACTGCCCGACTAATTGTTTGGCCTCGCGCCGCGGACGACCCGCGCGCGTCGCTGGGACCCTCTCGGGGCGACCAGCGCGCGTCGCGGGAACTCCGTGCTGCGGGGGGCCCGGCGCCTCGTTCGCCCGTCGTCGCTCTGCCCAGCGGTCAGAGACTTGCCCGCTATCAGCCAGCCAGTTAGCTAGTCAGCTCTCTCTGCTTCGCGCAGCGGACGACCCGCGCGCGTCGCTGGGACCCCGCCCGGGGCGACCAGCGCGCGTCGCGGGGACTCCGCGCTGCGCTGCGCCCGCAGCCTTGGATTTTGGAGTGCGCGGGCAAAGAGGAAGGAAAAGAAGAGCCGAAAGCGGGCGCGATCCTCGCAAGAGGCGTGCCGACATGGGCGTCGCGACGTGCGGACGCTGCCGTCGGGGTTCCCGCGGAAGCTGCCTGCGGCGGCCACGCCCAGTGTCACGTGTGTTCGGACAGGCATGCTCGAACCATTCACATTCATATACACTTACACTAGGCGTTTCCATGATCGCATTCATGCAAATATATTCACTCGCGCGCAGACCCATTTATACTCATATTCCCTCGCGCTCTGACTCACCCGCGTTCTTTCTCTCGTAATCAGATCTATCGTATTCCTTTGCGTTGTGTGCCCCGCCACATTTCGGCACACCCCTCATGCTGTTCGTGGCCCCATAGGGAGCGCCACCGAAGAAGATACTCACAATTGCGATACTCACAACTGCATATGGTTGGGTCCTTCGCCAGGATATGTTTTATTATTAATCGATCGTGCAGGTGCGCACGGCCAAGCTGTACACGCGACAGCCACCAGGGCCGTCACACCGAGCCCCTCGGCCCGATCAACCATGCAAGGCTACGACAGGACCCCGCAGTCCACGCCACAGCAAAGGCACGGCGGAGCTCACCCTTCGGGCGAGCGTCGCGCGAAGCGCAAAGCACGGCCCAAGTTAGACCACGCGAAGCGCGCGCTATGTCACGGGAGCAACAAAGCATGACATCAGGCTCGCAATGGAGGATATCACGCGAAGCGTGCACAAACACAATCAACCGCAAAGAACGTTGACGTGAGAGCACAGACATCACACACAGAGTGGGGTGCCTCGCATAGCGTGCGAAGAAAAAAGAAGGACTCAGAGGCTCACATGTGGATGTACCAGAAGCCGAAACTCCGCAGCAACAACCAACGGCAGCCCCATCGAATCAAGCTCCCGTGAGAGGCCTCCGAGTCTTGGGATCCTTGCCAAGCAGAATCAGGTCTCTCCGCTGCTGTCGAACTCGTCCAGCATTGTCCCCTTTGCGAGGGTGTCCCGTGCAATCCTTCCCAAGCTCACGGACGAGCCCCTCACGTTCACGAACAAAACAACAGCATTTCATACACACACGGTACCCGTTGGTGATGCGGATGTCGTGGCCCCTCGCCATGTCCGTTGGGGCCCCAGACTCCGCGCCTGCATCACTCGACGCCGCTGCTGACGCCTGCTGATCATCACTATCGCGCCGAGCAGCACCGTCGTCTCCAGCGCTAGCAGCTGGAGCAGCCGTACTGCCGCCGAACTGCGAAGCAGCTGAAGCAGCCGCAGCAACGGCGGCGGTCGCCGCAAGCCCCGCCGCAGCTGCAGGTCGTTTCATGCCTGACGTGTCGGCCGAGCGCGGGGCACTCGACACAGGCCGTGGAATGCAGGACAGGCTGAACAGCTTCCGCTTGGAATGCTCGGTGGCAGCGTACCGTCCACACCTTGAGCACTGCCAGCAGCTCGCCTCGACCACGAAGTCGTGCTCCGTGAGGCTGAGACGAACCTTCGGCGGCAGCTTGATAACCACATTAGTGTCAATGTCGTCACGGGCGGCTGACGCAGGGGCACCAGCACAGGACACCCAGGCCACAACGCCGTCCACCAGCAAGTGCGAGCGCCTGATCTTGGTCCTGTCAGCTTCGCCCAATGCGTACGGACGAGTGGCGTGCTTGGCCCACTCGTCGGCCTCAAGGTTGCCCCGACGCTCCCAACGAGACAGCCGACCCGCTTCCACATCTCTCAGAGTGCCGTGTCTTTTTAACTTTGAGCACAGTGAGCCCGTCAGGACCGAGCCCACCGAAATCTTCGATGGCACGCCACACCATCCGCCACAGGAGCGCCCAGCTGTGGGAAGCACCACAAGTACCCTCAGGCCCACGCACCAGGAGGCCGTCAACCACATAACTGGCCTCAATCCGCACCGTGATGGGCGCCAAGCTGTGACGAAGAAGAATGAGCACGGCGAGGAGATCAGCACCTTCTACGGATTGGTGCATCCCCATCAATGGCGAACCCAGGGCGCGAATGGCGCACTTCGGACCAGGGTAATACCATCCAGGCCCTAGTGGAATCTGCACCACCGCACAGCGGGCCATGCCGTAATCGATGTTCAGGTCGAAAGCCGAGCCGTCAGTGAACAGCTCATCGTTGTGAAAGGGCATAGAACCATTCCCCAGCAACCACTTGACAGAGGACAGGATCTCGTCCTGAGGTGGCTGCCACACCACTCGTGGCCGTACCAGCAGCAGCCGCTCGACCATCGTGATGGTGTTGGGGTGGTCCGCCTGCCTCTTTAGCATGGCAATGGCTGCTGGCAACTCCGCCTGCGGCCAATGGTGAGCGCACACCATATGACGATGCCACAGCGTGCCAGCTTGCCCAGGGCACAAGTTGCAATCTTTTGAATGCGCATACCGAGGGTTATTGTGAAAGCAACGATGGTTGGTCCATTGCCCACCGACGATGAGCGACCTGGCGTACCGCCGCTCTTCTGCACCAAGGGTAGGCCAGTCACGTCCTTCCGACGCCGTGGGCCGTCCTCGATAGATCCACTTCCTCAGCTGCATGATGTTGAAACCGTTGTCCAAATGCGGCAGCTCGTCAGCACACTTCTGGAACTGCCACCAAAGAACTGCTTTCCGAACCGCTTGCATGGTGTACCACGGCGAAAAATCCAGCGGCCTATGCACTGCGCCAGTAGCCGCGTTGATCCAGGTGCTTAGGCTGGCCGCCGCCCAGCCGACGCGCAGCAAGGGCATGAATGCCGCGCTGATGGGCCCACGTACCTGAGCCCAAGACTGCACATGCGTAGAAGTCCACTCCAGCACCGACGACAGAATAGATTGCGGCATCCAACTGTCCCAGACGGCACGATGCAGCATACAGACTGGATCGATCGCGGCTCGAAAGATGGGGCCGAAATCGCGCACAGGCGACAACGTGAGACAGAGAGTGCGACTCTTGCCGTCTACCCGGGCCTCCGTAGAACGGAAGGCGACCGACCGAGCAGACTGAAGGTCGGTATCGCTCAGCCCCGTGCAGTTCACGCTGTGCGCATAACCTGCCTCGAGGCCCTGCTTGGCGATACGCGCTGCGATAGCACGTCGACCTCCAGTGCCCAATAGACGCCGCACTCTGGGTACCCGTCGCTCAGCAGCTCGCAGTCGCGCACGTCGCACCTGTCGCCCAAGCGCGCGTCCTTGAGCAAAATCAGTGCCGAGGTTCCTCGCGCGCCTGGCTGCTTGAGCACCCGTGATCGTAATCAGCTTGGCCTTCAACGTGTGAGTGAGGGCCGCACTTGATGCAAGGACCTGCGACTTCTTGGCGGCGATGCGGATGCTGTCCCTGCTGAGACCGTTCACCAGCACCTGCGCCGCTAAGACGATGTCCCGCATCACCCGATGCCCACCGCCGCGCCGCTGCAGAACCAAATCATCGACCACAATGGCGGGGGACACCGTGGGCACCGCCTGCTGCATGCGATCGACACTGTCGATCAGCTGCAGCTTCATGAAAGTTGCGGCAAACGAGCCGCCTGCAAGCACGGTCTGGCGCACGTAAACCAGATCAGATACGGCACCACCCAACGCAAGAGCGCGGGCCTTGGTATAAATATCCAGTAGCAGCTTCAACAACCACAAAGGAAAGGGAAACTTCTGAGCCAATCTCAACAAGTTGTCATGCCTGATCTGTTCAAAGGCCTTCCACAAGTCAAGTAATAGCGCTGCAGTGGCCCAGTCGGCGCTGGGATCTTCATCAATCTTCATGGAGACCCACTCGCTCCATACCAACTGTTGCCACACTGCGCGATCGCAACTCTTGCCAGCCGGCGCCCACCAGTAGCCGCGATTGTGGGTGGCTTCCCACACTGTGGCTATGGGCCTCCTCAACCACCCGTGCACTCGAACAAGCGCAGCAAGAAGGGCGATTGGCCGCACTCCACCTTGACGTTTAGGTATGAATGCAAGCTTATTGATAAAGCCAGGCCAACAACATTGCTGCTCGACCATCTCGATCACATCTGCGAGCGCCTCCAGGCCCGCCTCGTCCAGCACGCCGAAGTCGCGCGGGTTGAAACTGTCGAAACCACGCCCTCCGTGGACCTTGAAGGTTGCACATGCTCGACGTAGCTGATCTGGGGTCGGCCGCCTGGGGCGCTCGCCAAGGTCAGCAGGCCAACTCAGCTTCGGAGGCTCGGCCGTGGTGCGCCAGTACTCCGACCATTCGCACGCCAGCGCCTTGACCGCCTCCATCTTGCCCAGCGGCGCTGCAACCCCTTGGATCGCGGAGGCGTTCACCGCAGGCTCTTTCGTGAAAGCATGCAGCGCAGCCCCCCCGCCAGCAGAGTTGGCGTCGATCCAATCCCCGAAGCGCGCCTTCGACTCCTTCACATCGGTAGCGACGGCATCGTCAGCGAGCTGCTTGGTGACCCCAGCTAAGCACTCCAGTTCGACGCTGCCCATGTACTCGCGCGCGCGGCAGAGAAGCGCCACCGCCTGGCACCACGTGCTGGCAGGTGGCCGCTGCGCTCTGCGCGTCAGAGCTCGCTGACCTCGCACTCGGCGGATGGGATCATCACTGACCCCGTCGGCGGCAGCAGGGGCCACGCCCTTCAACCACCTCGCAGGCCTGCTCACCTTCGGAATGCGAGGCGCCGAGGGCGGGCGCGCTCGAACCCAACCGAGCTCTGGTCTGTGACCACGGCCACCATACTTGTCGAGGCCGAGCCCTGCGAGGTCACAGAGGTAGTTCTCCGTGACGCCTATAAACTGCGTCCAGGCCGTGTCCACGTTGGTCGTGACCTCGCGCAGCGCGCGCCAATCCTCCGAGAAGTCCCGCGTGCAACAGCCAGCAGGAAACGGACTGGGAAAGGCTTTGGCCGTGCGCATCACTTGCACCCAGTCGTCAATCTGAGTGCCGTCGATCGTGAGCCTGACAGGCCGATGCGGCCCAAACTCCCAATCGTGCAATACCTCGGCGCTGGCTACGCGGAAATGCCTGGACAAGACGAAGTAGTCAACGACGTGATCCGAGGGCCTGCAGGTACCCGAGGTCGGTGCCACGACTCGGCCGCCGCAGAGCTCGAGAAAGGAGGACTGTATCAAAGTGGCTGGCTCCATGTTGAAGTCGCCGCTGATGATGAATGGGCGCCCTAGGACCTGCAGCATGGTGGCGACCTTGTGCAGGATGCTCTCGTTGGCGCACGTGAGCCCCTCGCCAGGGTGCAGGTAGACCGTGACCAGCACCACGCCACCCGAGCAGAAGCCTGAGTGGTGAACGAAGGTCGCACGCCCAGCGTCGATGACTGAGCTGCCAACACCCTCGAACTGGCCCATGCCGTGTACTCGTGGCGACAGCAAAAGGAGGCCTCCATGCCCCGGAATTCCGGGCCCTGAGCCCTCTGCTGGGGCTGTATGCGCATGCCAGCCGAGCTTGGCTAGCCTCGATGCCACCTCATTGCTGCGCTCCACAGTGAGATGCGCCTCTTGGACTGCGACAAAATCAGACCGACTGATCTCCATGCGGCCCAGGAGGGTCTCAAACGTAGAGTTTGCGTTGGCGTTCACTGTGAGACCGACCCAGGAAAGCCGCTGCCGTGAGCCACTAAAGATTCGTCCTCCTCCGCTTGGACTCCGCACGAAGGATCTCCAAAGTTTCCAGGATCCGCTTGCGCTCGTCGGGGTTTGCAGCCCCTGCCAGCAGCCCTCCTGGATCCTCTCCATCAAGATGGTCGCTGAAGCCACCGCGATCGCCATCCTCCATGGTAGCATCGCCATCGGCCCCCTTGGCCGCCTCGGCGCCGCCGTCGGCGCCAGGCGCGCCGCCGCCGTTGGCGCCACCACCTGGTGGAGGGGCCGTGGAGGAAGGACAGGGGACTGGGGAAGCAGCAGGCTGCTGCTTCTGGGCGAACTCGGTGACGGCCAGGGTGACCTTCCCGAAGATGGCCTCAACAGTGTCGCCTTGGCCTGCGCTGGACTGCAACTGCTTGAGCTGCTCGAGCAAGGGGCCGATGTCAACTTTGGGCGGCGCAGTGGACGCACCCAGTGCCTTGGCAGCTTCCTCCTTGGCCACGGCCAGCTCCTGCTCCAGAGAA